ATGACTTATTTTGATCCTATAATCATAAAAAAGAAGGACATGAACCATATCTGACCCAACCTGGGCTCAAACCTGCAGCCTCAGGATTAGAGACCATGGCCCTGACCGCCAAGTAATATTAATGCAAAATATTGTCTACAGTCCATCAGTTAACTTCGTGCAGCCTCTCCATTTTTAAAGAACAAAATGTTCATTCAGAAACAAGCTGAAATCCTTCAACAAACACTAGATTTAGAGGTTCACATCTGAAAACAGAAGCAGACTTTAGTCGGGTCTGGTGTAAACCAAGGGCAGTTAATGTACCGGTAGTTGAAGTTCCAGACTAACGCAGTGTCAGCTGTGAAAGCACACAAGTGATAAGTGTGCCTCAATTTTGATTGCCCTGGGCTCAATGTGGGGTCACAGCTCTGTGTTTACACATGAGGTGACGGCACACGCCTGCTGTCCTTTCAAATGGAACAAGATGAGAGCAAAGACTGAAAGATTTACAGGAGACTGACAGGTGATTGACAGGTTAGAGTAGCTCTCAGAGGAAACGGCTCAGCTGGTGGTAAAACTTTTACTTTGTTAAGGGAGGCTTGAGCAACATGTAAAACAGTACTTAATGTATAAACTGTATACAGAAACCAAGATGGCGCCTGTGCGTGGCCTTGCCAGCTTTACTTCAGCTCTTTTTCTGTGCATTTCACCATCTGCGCTTTTGATATGGGCTTTTTATTGAGCTGCACAAGAATTCTGGCATTTCTGCGTCCTGCGTCTATGATCGGGACGTGCTGTGATCAAAGAGTCCATGGTAGATTAATGTGACAGTTGGAACTGTTTCAGAGGGAGATTTTCACCTCGGTTTGTTTGCTGCTGCAGAATCTCATGAAGTGGTGGTACAATGAATTCATTTTAAAACCAGCAGAGGTCAAGCGTCCCAGAGGCGTCTCCCACTGGCCCTCACTGTCCAGACTCCACTGACTCACAGCTAGGGACAATTTAGAGTTACCAGTCAGTCTAACATGGATGTTGTCACTCAGAGAAATTTATTTGTCATTTGCATCTCGTGGTGGAACGAGATTATGTACACAGGGTCCCAGTTACTTTCAACAATAAAATGTAAAATAAAAACATGAATAAAATCGGAGATATGAACTAAGAAAATCATCAGCTAAATATACACTAAGCATTAATAGCATAACAACATTACGTTGAATGGCAGCACGAACATGAGTCTGTGTGAGCAGATGAGCATGAATGAACACTGCAACATGAAACAGATCAGCAGCAACATGAAACAGATCAGCAGCAACATGATGTGGTTTTTCACAGTGATTATTCTGGTTAGAGATTCATGAGTCTAACAGCCTCAGGGTAGAAGCTGTTCCTCAGTCTAGTGGTTCTACACTTAATGCTCCTCAACCTCCTTCCTGAGGGGAGCGGGCCAAAAAGTGTGTGTGCTGGGTGAGTGGGGTCCTTCATGATGCATGTCTCTTCCTGCATCTAGAGGTGTAGATGTCTGTGATGGTGGGGAGACTGACTCCAACAGACTTCTGTGCAGCCTTCACCACTCTCTGCAAAGCTTTTCTTTCTGCAGCTGTGCAGCCTCCATGCCACATGTTGATGCTGGAGCACAGGATGCTCTCCACTGCACACCTGTAGAAGGAGGTGAGGACTGAGCTTCCCAGACCAGCTCGTCTCAGCCGCCTGAGGAAGTAGAGTCTCTGATGAGCTTTCTTGATCAGGCTGGTGGTGTTGTTGCTCCAGCTGAGGTTGACATTCAGGTGTACACCCAAGTACTTGTAGCTGGAGACCACTTCCACCGCAGATCCTTTTATGTTCAGGGGGGTGTAGGTGTGTTTGTTCCTTCTGAGGTCCACAATCATCTCCTTTGTCTTCTTCACATTGATGTGAAGGTTATTCTCTCTGCACCAGCTCTCCAGGTGTTCCACCTCCTGCCTGTAGCTGGACTCATCATTGTTTGTGATGCATCCCACCACCGCTGTATCATCTGCAAACTTTACAATGTGACAGCCTGGATGGGTAGCTGCACAATCATATGTGAGCAGAGTAAACAGGAGGGGGCTCAACACACATCCCTGAGGAGAGCCAGTGCTGAGGGTTATGGTGGAGGAGGAGAAATTGTGGATCCTCACTGACTGTGGTCTGTTTGTTAAAAAATCTAGTACCCTGTTGCAAATGGAGGGGCTTAGTCCTAGTGTGAGTAGTTTGTCCATCAGGGTTTGGGAGATCATGGTGTTGAAGGCAGATGTGAAGTCCACAAAGAGCATACGGACGTAGGAGTCCTTCTGCTCCAGGTGGGTGAGTGCATTGTGGACCACAGAGGAGATGGCGTCCTCTGTTGATCAGTTCTTGCAGTATGCGTACTGATGAGGGTCCTCGTTGATGTTGATGGTTGTTTTGATCTGGGTCATGACCAGTTTTTCGAAGCATTTAGTGACTATTGGGGTGAGGGCCACTGGCCGATAGTCATTCAGACCAGTCACTGTAGAGCTCTTTGGGACTGGGATGATGGTGGCAGTCTTCAGGCAGGTGGGAACTGTCGCCAAGGTAAGTGAGGAGTTAAAGATGTCGGCCAGCACCTCGCAGAGCTGATCGGCACATTCTTTCAACACCTTCCCGGGGATGTTGTCTGGGCCGGTCACTTTGTGAGGGTTAATCCTCCTGAAAGTACTCCTTCTGCTGAAGTCACGCTGAGATGCTCTTCATCCAGTGGTGAAGGGAGTCTGGTGCTGGGTGGTCTGTCAGGTCTTCAAAGCGTGTGTAGAACTTGTTGAGGGCATCAGGCAGAGATGGGTCTTTGGGGCACTGTTAGTCTGTGGGAGGAAAGTGGAGTACCCAGAGAAAACCCACGCATGCACAGAGAGAACATGCAAACTCCACCCAGAAAGGCCCTAGCAGGGATTCAATCCAATGACTTTCTTGCTGAGATGCAACAACTCTATACCAACTGAACCACCGTGCCGCCCATGTCAAACGTGTTTTTAATTATTTTACTTTAAACTTATTCCTCTAAAAAAGATTTTTATTAATCAGTTTCAGCAAGCATCAATTTCTAACATATTGGATTTTAGATAATTTACGAACATTTAAGCTCTTTTTAAAGTGCAGATCAAAGGGGGAAGGGGTGTTGAGGAGGAGAGTCAAAGTCAAATGAAGCTGTTTGCCTTCGCATCTCAACGTTGGATAAATGAATGAAAACAGATGGATCGATTTTCAGGTTTACAATTTTTTATTTAGATTATTCAAGTCAGTCCAAAAAAAGATTTGGTGATGAAAGCACATGCATCGATGGTGACAGCACAAAAGAAAAGATAAATAAATAAATCATACTTGTATTCTTCAGTGCCACAAACTTGACGTGATTGGGTTGGGTTGCCATGACAACTGTCCTGCTTGAGTCTTGTCATCATGTGTTTGTTGGCTCCATCTGTCTGCTGAGAAGCTTCACAGAGAACGCAGATCAAACGCAGAACTGTATGGAACAAGATGCTAAACACTTGGGCGTAACATATTAATATATTTATGTGGCCAATAATAAATTTTAGTCACTGAGGGAAAGATAAATAGTACAAACAGACATTTAGTTGTGCATTTTGATTGTTATGGAGCGAAACGAAGTCCTGACGGACGTCACTTTGTTGTTCTCAGCTCTGGCTGAGGGAAAATGAGATGGAAGGACGCCGACCCGTCCAGCTACAGAAAACCCTGCATCTCTGGTCAGAGGTTTGTTGGAGGGTACTGGCAGGTTTACGACCCAGCTTGATGGCAGTTAAAGACGTGACAGACCGCTCTTTAAGCAGCTCATTTCAGGACTAGCTTTCTAATCATCAGCTGTGATTCATCTCCAACAACAAAAGAAAACGGCACAGTTCTTTTTTTCTACCTTTCCTGGCATTCTCCTCTAAAGGATTGCTTGCCCAAATACTTTGTATTCTGGACGTTTCCGTCATGTTTTATTGCAAGAGCAGAAAAATCCGTGCTCATTATTTTCACTACATTTGAACGATGTGTTTTTATTAAAGCCACTTTTATCCAAAGAGCGATTCTCTCCTGACTGGTAGAACGTGGAAGCAGTTATTGTGCATCTTTGTGGGATCAGTGTTGGAGTCCAGATCTGACTCCTCCTGCCTTTCTGCCTCCTCCCCTCCCCCAGTCTGTGTAAAAACAAATCTCCTTTTCTGCTCTGAAAGTATTGAGTCAACAAATGTCAGTGCAGCCGAGCAGGGGCTTCTGGGAAAGAGGAGGGGTCTGCTTTTAAGCCTGAAGTGCAGCTAAAAGCAGATTATTTCAGAGGCAACACTAATGGAGGAATCCCACAGTAAAATGAAAGTGTGGCATGCAGACTTCAATCAGTTTTATTTCAGATTATGAACACAACCCGGTATCTCAGAGATACAAAAATAAAACTACTTGCAAAGCAGAACTTTGTTCTCAGAGATATCAAGCATCAAAGATAACAAGTGTCACACTTGGCTTCGGTAGAAAACCTATAGTTTTGTTGTCACAGCAGCTTTTCAGGGCTGAACTTGTATTTTTAGTCACCATCAGCTCCTTCCTCTCTCTCACAACTTTCTGGATCTTTTCAGGCCCACGTGGCCGGTGTCAACAGGAGGTGGATCTTGGCAGAGACTCTGCAGCAACGTCTTGCTTCCTGCAGCAGAGTCGTTTTTAAAAAAAGGAGCCGGCTAGCCCACGGAGGCTGTTGGTGATGACTCTAAACCAGACTGTTTGTGTTTTTTGGAAGTGTAATGTTGCATAAAGAGACTCTTTTACGCCCAAAGGGAAGTTTTTCAACCTCCAACAGAAAAAGGGAGGGAAAAACCCTGAGTCACTTGGCTTCCTGTCTGAGAATAGGAAGGGGGTGGAGGCGGTTTCTCCTCTGTCGTAGTCAGACAGTTGAGACCTGTGCAATATTTAACACAAAGTTGAGTGGGGGAGGAGTCCTGCTTTCTTCACTGAATCCACTCCAGTGCTTGAGAGCAGCCATCATAGTGTTCACTATTGTGTACGGCTGGCTGAGGGAAGGGGGGAAAGAGAACCTGCCTCTTTGTGTGACAAGAACTCAACTAGAACGTGATTTGCTTCTTCTTTTTGAGTTTGTCAGCAGACTCTCGGTGTGTCCAGGCTGCAGATACGTTTCTAAGCTTGATGTATGGATGCCTCCCTCCACAGGGACATGTGAGTGTTCTTCTCAGGCCGGCAGAACAGCGACACCCGGGCTGCTCCTGACGATGAGAGCCAACGTCAGGCTGGTTTCCATGAATATTGATGTGGAGGATAGACTGGTTCATAGAACAGAAGGAGGCAAGATGGCTGCCCTTTAGGATTTGTTAAAGAGGCGATCCAGACGGGTTGTTGGTTTTTCTACAAAGTGGAGGGACAAAACACGAAGGTGAGAATGTGCTCGCTGCATTAATCCTCTGTTGACCTTACAACCTTGAGAGTGTTTGTGAGTATTTTTGAATCAGGTGAGGCATAGATGTCCATGACGGTAACAAAACAAGCCAACCTAATAACAGGGCATATTAGATAAAGCTACTCCAACATGGCTGACAGTTGTCTTTTTGTCTTTAGCAGGAACTGAATAACTCTGTTTTCTTTGTAGTTGAATTCACTCAACATTCCTGCTGCTTTTAAAGGCACGCAAGGAAACCGTGCACTTACATGCTGGTTCAGGAGCATATTTTAAATACCAGGAGCATGCTCTGCGCTTACAGCCCTGTTATCAGGCAAATTTAAAAATCATGTACATGGATGACTTTTATACTGTTTGACACAATATGTGTGTTTGAGTTATAAAAACAATAATTCTTTTCACGTGTTTAGATGCAGACACACAGCATGTTCGTGTCTATGAATCCATGAATGTTCAGTATCGTGTCAGAGTAAAGGTCCAGCCTGGACGAGCCCCGAGTGAACCGGGCCCAGCACCACAGCAGAAACAGAAGACACAAAGCAAAACAGAAACACAAAGACTCGTCCCACAGAAAAGCAAAGCAGAGGAGACTTGAGCAGGATGTCTTAGGAAGACAGACAAGGTCAGAAGGTTCTGATGGAGATGAAACACAACAGCCCCACAAAGTGACCGAAACAATGTTTTTATGAACATTTTACTTAACTTGAAGCTAAATGGTTTGTTTTGAAAAGACAACAAACAATCGGCTTTTTCCACAAAAAGCTCAAATAAATTATTTATCTCCCAACTGATAAATTTGTGTTCTCGAAGCAGCAACAACACAATAAAGAGAGGGAAAAATATCTATGAAAACAGCAATGAAACCAAAGCACTACGGCAATAAAAATAAAACGATTAAACACATTCTGCTCAAATTGGCAAAAAAGGTGAATGCAAACTGTATCCTCACCAAAACTTGAAATACTCAGTTTATTGTTTGTTGAACATGATATTTATCCATCCATTATCTTTTACTCGCTTCTTTCATTTTGGGTCATGGGGGTCACTGGTGCCCATGTCCAGCAATCAGTGTGCGAGGGGCGGGGTACACCCTGGATGGGTCGCAAGTCCATGATATTTATATTTTAATCAAATCAAATGGTAGCTTAAAATAAAAGTATGTTTTTATTCTTTACAGGTAGTTAAATATCACGAACAGTTTGCTCTTGACAACAGGTCAGACTTCCTATATGTGAACATTAAAGAAATAATAAATATTTGAGCATTTTAAGTGACATTAATGGAGTTAGAGCAGTGAGGTAATCCTTGTTGAAGTTGGATTTTAAACCTCATTCCAAACAGTCAACATCTATTTATTTGTTAGTTATTTTGTTCTAATTCCCAAAGACTGTAATCACCATTTGAATGGTCTATTTGAAGACGACACATCTCCCTCTGGGTCTGTGTGTTTTTCCTGTGTATTCTCTTGAATACTGCCACCATGTGTCTCCTTTCTGACCTCAGGTCACAAAGTAAAGTTAAAGTATTTCTGCAGGGTGACCTTTAGCAGTGCAATCTGACTGCTGGAGCAACAAAGGGCTCCACAGTCCTAAATGTTCAGAAAGCCTCACCTAGCAGAGAGGACCTTTGTGACTGGATCCAGGGGAGACAACAGAACAGGCAAGTCAGAATGAAGACAGCTGTTTACATGCCATCAGTTACTAAGCCTCGATGAGAGCAGCTGATGACAGTATGGCTTTATGATTCTGAAGTTTTGTTTTGTTTTCCTCTTGGTTGTCTGTGCATGCAGCTCCTACACAACATATTCTATTTTAATTACAGTAATTGTCTGTAAACACCGAAACACCCAGCTTTTAGGGTGCACTCACCTCGTGCAAAAAGTTGTTACTGTTTTGATATTGCAAACATGGTGATTGAACGTGGAGATTCAAATCCATAGCTGAAGATTGGTCCTTGTGGCTCTAGGCTTCATTGTGACTGCCTGAGTTCATGCGATCCATGATGTGGTGCATGCACATACATGTGATGCAATCACTGCACAGCAGTGCTAAGATGTTGCAGAGAATACCCCATGAAACGGTTAGACAAAAGACTGGAACTGCATTTTTGTTTGGATGGTCTAATTAATTATCAGTCGGCGTGCTGCGGTAATATTTCTGTTTTCCATTACGTTCAGCTGCACTCTGTGCAGGTTTTAAAATGCTAGCACATGCTAAAACAATAAAGTCAGCCGTAGAAGATATATTTTCATGGGCCTGTGCACGGCTGACATCAGTAGCTGAAAAGGCACCAGGTTTAACGGGGTTACTGGGGGCAGAGCGGGGGATGGGCCATGTAAATCAATCACAAGCTCCACAGAGCTGCTCTCGTCTGTCCACACCTACAGATAAAGGCGCGCGGCTGGATTGCTCCTTCGTCGAGGCCGTGAGCTCCCTTTAACTCACTCCTGGGGCAAAGACAATATCACCTTTGGGAAGAATGTCCAGTTGCCATAGCGCTGTACAACAATGTTGTCCGCTTACAAAGCCAAGCCCTTAGCCAAGCTTTCACCTCTGACCCCGCTCCGTCCAGCCCGAGTGTCATTTATCCACCTTGAAGCCTGTTGCTCAAACGGCCCAGAACCAAAGCTCAGTGGTTGGTTGGACATTTTAGACTGCGCTCCTTTTAGATTGAAAGACAAAATGGCGAGATGCAGAGTTATATTGATTTCTGCAGTATTGATTTCTCTGTTGCCTGCTATCAGGAGGGGTGGGGGTATCTATGGTGAGAGAAAGGCAGGAAACCACAATCTATCCCTAAAGAATCACTGAGCTATAATACTGTTTAGATGCACTTTTACCAACTTTACTCAGAAAAGTGTATAGTGTGAACTTTGCATCACTTTTGTCATTTGTTGAACTGTTGTAGATTGTAAACCAGCTGAAATATAAATATTTCAGAAATAGGTTATCACTAAACCAGGATCAGAGAGAAGACGTCCACTGAGGTCTGACTCGTCAATGAGACTGATTTAATCATGGCCTGCAGCAGGTTTGGGGCTGTAAATTTGTGATAATGTTTTTTGAGTGTCAGATACAAAAGTCTTATCTGTACCGAAGCGAACGATGAATCCCGACTGTGACCCGTAGTCTTCATGTTCGGTGTGAGGCGAGCTGAGTGGTGGTGACTGAGAATGATGGGGGTTTGATGCGCAGGGCTGCAGGGAGGGTTACTGTGAGCGTGTATCAGTGTCAGGCTTTACCTCAGGGGTGAGGCGGGAGGGCAGCAGCTCGGAAGCTTCCTCCACGTGAGGATTCACACGTGGCTTTTCTGTTTACAAACAGGATCCTGGCATTCTGCGCAGAAACACATTACGTAACAACTATAAAGCCAATAGCATCTCTTCCTGCTTCCCGCCAAGCCGCTCCCCCCACACGCTGTCCATTTTTCTTGACTGAGCGTTTTGCCATTTAGACCAGTGGAAGCGACACATAACCACAGTCTAGGTTAGGGATGTGTTCACCGAGGAGTCATGACTCGAGCACTCCTGGTTTTAGGTTGTTCCATGCACATCTTGGTTAAAGATGTACTAACAGCAGCAGGAGCCTGAAATACATCTTTATTTTAACCAATAATGCTTCAAAGTTGTGGGCTTTAGTTTTCACTGAAACACAATTTTAAGTATTTTCTCGATGCTGTGCATTTTAAACTCAACCTTCATTCAAAATAAATTGGTTTGCATTGCTGCAGTGCTGCACATAAAGTGACTGACTGTACAAAAGCTCCAAGAAGCCAGACGTTCATTTGATATATTTATAATTGTTTTCACGCTTTCTCAAGATGTTTTAATGTTTTTTCTCTTACTTTCAGTGCCTGACCTTTTTCAGAGGAACTTTTTTTTACATTTCTTTATTAAGCCACTTGTGAGCTCTGAATCATTTAGGAGTAAAAAGTCTCCTAAACTCAAAGGATGAGCCAGCCTTGTGTTGAATCATAAAGACTTTTAGGCACTTTGTTACAAGCAGTTTGTCACAAACATGATTTATTTCCATTCTATCCAATTTAATATATGGAAAACATTAAAAACAACCCAGTTTGACACATAAATAGGGTTTAAGAGCCAACAAGGTGCTTCCTGAAGAGCCATTAGCTGAAAACCTGACACACACACAAGATCTGAGAGGTGACTCCTCTCTCAGGTCATTGCTGGATTTGTTCCTGTTTCTTAAAATACATGACTTTCAGATACTGGTCATCTGCTGCAAAAAGGTTTTTAATACATAAAACAGCTTTTCTTTGTCCTGAACTTGTCCACTTTGTGATGGTCAAGCACAATTACTTCAGAAAAGAAGCCAAAATCCAAATAAACTCTTTCAAAGACCTTCAGAAAGTTTTAAACTGTTGATCAAAATCAGTTCAGAAGATTATAATGAAATCAGGCTTCTCTATATGGAAATATAATTAAGGCTGGTTTAAAATGTTTACACTATAGTGAATATGGACCTGTATCTGCCATTCAATTCACTGCCTTTCCCTTTTCAAACCGTTTAAATGAGTTTTTATACAGACTGGAAATAGGCCAACTTTAAAGATTTAAAAGTGACTGAACCTTGTGTGATTCTTGGACTTTAACCTCAAAACGCACATCAACAAATCAGCTCCAGGTAAATCAAATCAGTTTCCATGATGAGGCCGAGAGGCGTGACCACAAACATTCAAAGGACAAATAGTTTGAGTTTATGAGCATATAACCTGTCAGAATATAATTTCTGGCTAAACAAACTGTCCAATCTTGTTCTGTAAACGTTTAAACCTTTTCCAAAGGTAATGTCCCATCTATGATCTGCAAACCTTAGTCATGAAAACACCATTGAACTCCACGCAGTCCAAAGCTGTGTAAATAAAGGGTTCTGGTTCAAATGGCGGTCAGCTGAGAGTTGTTTGGGGAGGAGTTGTCTCTTAAAGGTTCTGCTGTCCACAGGAGGAGGTTCAGACAG